ACCCAAAGCAGCCATTGCAGCTGCATGAGTCACAGTCCTAAACCTCGCCCATTTACCCTCGACATCAGGAGGAGGTGGGGACGATGCCAATCCCAGCCGCAAGCGATGATGAAATTCTCGTTTGCAACTTTCATCAGATAACTGAGACCAGGCCACTTTAGGTCGGAATGGGGTCCTGGGTGTACACCCACCACCGGAGTGGAAGAATGGCAGGTGCATCTTACAGATGACTAGTCGATGGTCAGAGGGCAGATCAGCTCCACGGTAGGTCCTGGTGTCAAGGACATGGGCTCGCATCCGCTGGTCCGTCACTATGTAGTCCAGCAGATGTTCTTGCTTGGACCCGGCATGCATCCATGATGTTGTGTGGATGCGCCGATGCCGGAACAGCGTGTTGGTAATTACAAGCCCATGGGCTGCACAAAAATCTAGCAGCCTCCTACCGTTGTTATTGAGCTGATCTGGCCCATGCCCTCCAATCACTCCAGACCAGGTGCCAGTATCATGACCAACTCGGGCATTGAAGTCACCTAACATGATGACTCTATCCCGAGGGGCCACTTTAGCCAGCACCTGTGACAGGAGGTCATAGAAGGCATCTGACTCATCGGCTTTGCCTGCATCCCTCCACGGATGTTCATCTTCGATGGGGGCATAAGTAACCACGACCACCATTCCTCGCCTCCGGTTGATGGGAAGGCGAGCCCAAAGTAGCCTGGGGCTTACAGCTTCCCACACCTCACCGCCATGCTCCCACGCCCCCTTCATTCTTTTGTTCAAAAGAAGAGCCACACCCTGTTGTTTGGCAGTCTGCTGCCCCGAGAAGAGGACTGTCCTCCCCTCATGGTGGCAGGAGCCAGAGCCGGTCCACCGGACCTCCTGAATGCCGTATAGATCCAGGCGGTACCGTTCCAGCTCCCGACAGAGGAGTGGCAGCCTCTCCTCCGCAGTGTGCGTTCGAACATTCCACGTGGCCACCCGTAGTGGCTTTTCGTTGTTTCTGGAGGAGCCCCGAGGGTAGATATTCAATCTCCTGGCTCCGCCAATTGGGGTTCGGCCAGGAGACGTCATAGACGCCTGGCCCCCCGGGGCCTCCGGCACAAGCTTATTAGTTACATATTTCAGTTTAACTCGTGGTTTCGTGGTAATTAATTGAAGGTGGAGGGGTTACCAGCCCCTCGCACCCGTCCAGAGCCCCCGTTTAGCCCCTGTGGTGGACACATATGCCATGAGGGGAGGAGACAATCAAAATTGGATCTCCCCCCACAGCACTGTCCACGACAGAGTTGCCCGTCCGGCACCGCGAGGAGGTATTGGGTTGTTTTACCGTGTCAGTGTGTGTGACACACACACACACAATGACACACACACACTGACACACACACACAGACAACAACAACAACAACCGCCATTCGCCACTAAGTGGCGGTGACGTCACCACGACGCTTGTGCCAGGCTATGTGCACCCTGAGGCCACGTGAAGTGTCGAACGCCCGCTGGCAGGAGGTCACGGGGCAGACCCAGGTGCCACGGGTCGACTGACTGAGATGACTGGCTGATGCACCACCTGTGCCCCCTACTGTGCCAACCTGCTGTGCTTTAGCCACCCGGCGCTCCGCTCGCTGTTGTGAGCGTCGCTCCTCCGCCCTCCGTTGTTGTTGGAGGGCGACTGCCTCCAACTGCCCAGTAGCATCCTTCACGAGCCTCCTCCACAGAGGCCGATCTTGACACCGCTGGTACCAGTCATCGGCAAGTCCACTCAGCTCCACGTCCTCCTGTACCACATCACTCCATCTCTTCTCCAGCCCGTGCCGCGCCCGCTTAGCCCCCTCAATCCGGCCAAACAAAAGCTGTTTCGGCATGCGGTGGCTGGGCATGCGGGCTACATGACCCAGCCATCGCAGCCTTGCCTGCCGGAGGAGCTCACCGATGGGACCCTGCCCAGATCTTTCAAGGATTTGTGAGCTCCTCACACAATCCAGTCTGGTTAAACCCAGGATGGATCGTAGGCAGGTCAGCCTAAATGTTTCTAACCGGCGAAGATGTTCCATTAGGGGGGTCCACGTTTCGCAAGCGTAGAGAAGGGAGGGAATGACCGTGGCCGAGAAGACCTGAAGCTTAGTGCGGAGCGACAGACCAGGTAGCTTCCACACAGCGTTACGCAACCGATGAAAAGATATTGCCGCTCGACTGATTCGGAGTGAGACCTCTGCTGTTAAACTGGAGCCAGTCATAAGCACACTGCCCAGGTATGGGAAACTCTCCACTCTCTCCACAACTGCCCCATCACCGATTGGGAGTTGTGGGGGTGGAGTGTCCGATGGTACAAAATACCCAGGCAGGTGCTTAGTTTTGGTGGGGCTGATGGTAAGGCCCCACCTCTTAGTGGCACGCTCCAGTCTCAGCAGCAGCGTCTCCAACTCCTCCTCTGACTGAGCCGCTATTACCAAGTCATCAGCATACATAACGTGGTTGAGCAATAGGGAGCCATCCCTTGACCGCACCCGGGCATCGATTAGCCTCCCATTATATCTGTACCATATGGAGATTCCCCCGGTACAGCTATTGAAGGCTTCACGAACTACGTGGTCAAAATAGATGTTAAATAATGTGGGAGCCAGAGGACATCCCTGTCGCACCCCAAGGTGTACAGGGAATGGCTCTGACTCCCGGCCACGTAGTTTTACCCGGGCCCGCTCACCATCATGAAGGTCCTTAATGATCGTGAGCAGAGGGTCAGGTACTCCAAAAGCACGAAGAACGACCCAGAGCCCAGGCCTACTGATGGTATCATAGGCCTTGACCAGGTCAATAAAGCAGAGATGTAGGTCTTGTTGGAATTCCCTACACCTCTGCTGTAGCAGACGGACAGAAAATATGGCATCTGTGCAGGACCGCCCTTTCCTGAAACCGCATTGGGGCTCCGCAAGCCTCTCCTCAGCGTGCCTGGCAAGGCGATGCTGAATAATCCTTGCCAGGACCTTTCCCGGCACACTGAGGAGTGAGATGCCCCTGTAGTTGTTACAGTCTGTGCGGTCCCCCTTCTTAAAAAGGGGGACCACCAGGGCATCCTTCCAATCCTGCGGAACCCGTCCAGTGGTCCAGACTGTTGTTATGATGTCATATAGGGCAGTCTGTGCACAAACGCCACCCTCCCTCAGCATTTCGCTTGGGAGATCATCTCTGGATCATCTCCGGATCGCCTTCAATACTTCCTCAGCAGATGGCACCTCAGCCAGCCACTCACAGGGGGTGACTTCATCCAATATTTGAGGCACCGCAGCCTCAGCAGGGTCATCCTCACTTTGTGCCACGATGTTTTCCTGGCTGTGGGATTTTCCCTCCCCCAGGACCTCACAGAAATGCTCAGCAAATCTGCGAACCTGTTCCTGGGGGTCGGAAATTGGATCACCGTTTTTTCCCCTAATGATGGTAATAGGTGTGGCGCTGCAGGTTACTTTTTTGATGGAGTTAAATAGCGATTTGTGATCACGGGCCACTGAGGCAGACTCCATCTCCTCAGCAACCCGCGACCACCACCCATCCTTGCAGCGCCTCACGGCTCTCCGAACCTCCGAGCGAAGGCTGCGGTAAGCCTCCTCATTCTCTGACGTGGGATTCTGTAGCCGATGACAGTGGGCCTGTCGCTTTTTCTCAACCATCCTGAACAACTCCTCTGTCATCCAGGGTGTCTGGGGAGGTCTGGACCGCGTACCCAAAGCAGCCATTGCAGCTGCATGAGTCACAGTCCTAAACCTCGCCCATTTACCCTCGACATCAGGAGGAGTCGGGGACGATGCCAATCCCAGCCGCAAGCGATGATGAAATTCTCGCTTGCAACTTTCATCAGATAACTGAGACCAGGCCACTTTAGGTTGGAATGGGGTCCTGGGTGTACACCCACCACCGGAGTGGAAGAATGGCAGGCGCATCTTACAGATGACTAGTCGATGGTCAGAGGGCAGATCAGCTCCACGGTAGGTCCTGGTGTCAAGGACATGGGCTCGCATTCGCTGGTCCGTCACTATGTAGTCCAGCAGATGTTCTTGCTTGGACCCGGCATGCATCCATGATGTTGTGTGGATGCGCCGATGCCGGAACAGCGTGTTGGTAATTACAAGCCCATGGGCTGCACAAAAATCTAGCAGCCTCCTACCGTTGTTATTGAGCTGATCTGGCCCATGCCCTCCAATCACTCCAGACCAGGTGCCAGTATCATGACCAACTCGGGCATTGAAGTCACCCAACATGATGACTCTATCCCGAGGGGCCACTTTAGCCAGCACCTGTGACAGGAGGTCATAGAAGGCATCTGACTCATCGGCTTTGCCTGCATCCCTCCACGGATGTTCATCTTCGGTGGGGGCATAAGTAACCACGACCACCATTCCTCGCCTCCGGTTGATGGGAAGGCGAGCCCAAAGTAGCCTGGGGCTTACAGCTTCCCACACCTCACCGCCACGCTCCCACGCCCCCTTCATTCTTTTATTCAAAAGAAGACCCACACCCTGTTGTTTGGCAGTCTGCTGCCAAACAACAGGGTGTGCAGACTGCCAGACTGCCACACAGACACACACTGACACACAGACACACACTGACACACACACAGACACACACACACTGACACACACACACACTGACGCACACACACACCGACACACAAACACTGACACACACACACCGACACACACATACCGACACACACTAACACACTGACACACACACACTGACACACACACAGACACACACTGACACACACACACTGACACACACAAACAGACACACACTGACACACACCGACACACACAAGCCGCGTGATGACTGCAGCATGATCACTGCGGACGGGGTTTGTGTTGTTGTTGTTCAATCCACACGTTAGTCATGATCGGACGAGTAAAGTAGTTATTGATATAATCATAGCGCCAAGCAAATAATGTAACGTTGTTATGTTGAGCAGCGTTTAAACAATGCAGAGGCGCGCGCACGCGCGCGTCACTCACCACGATTGCCTGAACCGCATCGGCGTCTTCCCCCCCCCCCCCCGGAACGTGAATTGGCATCAGAGGGCCCCCCGTAACATGGATTAGGCATCGACGGGACCCCCGGAACATGGATTGGCATGCCCCCCCCCAGAACGTGAATCGGCATCGGCGGCCCCCCTCGGAACGTGAATTGCCATCAGAGGGCCCCCCGGAACATGGATTAGGCGTCGACGGGACCCCCTGAACATGAATTGGCATCGGCGGCTCCAGAACGTGGATATCGGCAGCGGCAGCACGAAGCGACTGGATGGATACAAGACGCAACAACAACAGCAGCAGCAGCTGCTGGTCGTCGCCTCGTGCTTTTAGCCGAACGTTCAGGAAGGAAGTCACCGCTCCAGTGTCGAGGTCTGTTGCTGGCCACGGAGTGCTTCGGGAGAGAGACAGACAGAGATTGCTGTTCCTCCTCCTCCGTTGCAGGCGCACAGACTACAGTGGGTTTACTTTACGGCCCTTAGTTTTGGTTTGCATGGCCACATTAACACGAACTGTGGATTTTCTTCAACGTGTAAGGGATGTCAGGGGAAGGATTCCCACCAAAAGGAAGGGGGAGTGGGCCGGTGACAGTGGAAGGGGGAGAAGCAGGCGAAGAGATATAAGAGAGAGAACGGGCGGGAAGAGGGGAGAATTGGTGGGAAGAGGAGAGAATTGGTGGGAAGAGGGGAGAATTGGTGGGAAGAGGGGAGAATTGGTGGGAAGAGGAGAGAATTGGTGGGAAGAGGAGAGAATTGGTGGGAAGAGGGGAGAATTGGTGGGAAGAGGGGAGAATTGGTGGGAAGAGGGGAGAATTGGTGGGAAGAGGGGAGAATTGGTGGGAAGAGGGGAGAATTGGTGGGAAGAGGAGAGAATTGGTGGGAAGAGGAGAGAATTGGTGGGAAGAGGGGAGAATTGGTGGGAAGAGGGGAGAATTGGTGGGAAGAGGTGAGAATTGGTGGGAAGAGGAGAGAATTGGTGGGAAGAGGGGAGAATTGGTGGGAAGAGGGGAGAATTGGTGGGCAGAGGGGAGAATTGGTGGGAAGAGGGGAGAATTGGTGGGAAGAGGGGAGAATTGGTGGGAAGAGGAGAGAATTGGTGGGAAGAGGAGAGAATTGGTGGGAAGAGGGGAGAATTGGTGGGAAGAGGGGAGAATTGGTGGGAAGAGGGGAGAATTGGTGGGAAGAGGGGAGAATTGGTGGGAAGAGGGGAGAATTGGTGGGAAGAGGGGAGATTTGGTGGGAAGAGGGGAGAATTGGTGGGAAGAGGGGAGAATTGGTGGGAAGAGGGGAGAATTGGTGGGAAGAGGGGAGAATTGGTGGGAAGAGGAGAGAATTGGTGGGAAGAGGAGATAATTGGTGGGAAGAGGGGAGAATTGGTGGGAAGAGGGGAGAATTGGTGGGAAGAGGGGAGAATTGGTGGGAAGAGGGGAGAATTGGTGGGAAGAGGGGAGAATTGGTGGGAAGAGGGGAGAATTGGTGGGAAGAGGGGAGAATTGGTGGGAAGAGGGGAGAATTGGTGGGAAGAGGGGAGAATTGGTGGGAAGAGGAGAGAATTGGTGGGAAGAGGAGATAATTGGTGGGAAGAGGGGAGAATTGGTGGGAAGAGGGGAGAATTGGTGGGAAGAGGGGAGAATTGGTGGGAAGAGGGGAGAATTGGTGGGAAGAGGGGAGAATTGGTGGGAAGAGGGGAGAATTGGTGGGAAGAGGGGAGAATTGGTGGGAAGAGGGGAGAATTGGTGGGAAGAGGGGAGAATTGGTGGGAAGAGGGGAGAATTGGTGGGAAGAGGGGAGAATTGGTGGGAAGAGGGGAGAATTGGTGGAAAGAGGGGAGAATTGGTGGGAAGAGGGGAGAATTGGTGGGAAGAGGGGAGAATTGGTGGGAAGAGGGGAGAATTGGTGGGAAGAGGAGAGAATTGGTGGGAAGAGGGGAGAATTGGTGGGAAGAGGGGAGAATTGGTCGGAAGAGGGGAGAATTGGTGGGAAGAGGGGAGAATTGGTGGGAAGAGGGGAGAATTGGTGGGAAGAGGGGATAATTGGTGGGAAGAGGGGAGAATTGGTGGGAAGAGGGGAGAATTGGTGGGAAGAGGGGAGAATTGGTGGGAAGAGGGGAGAATTGGTGGGAAGAGGGGAGAATTGGTGGGAAGAGGAGAGAATTGGTGGGAAGAGGGGAGAATTGGTGGGAAGAGGGGAGAATTGGTGGGAAGAGGGGAGAATTGGTGGGAAGAGGGGAGAATTGGTGGGAAGAGGGGAGAATTGGTGGGAAGAGGGGAGAATTGGTGGGAAGAGGGGAGAATTGGTGGAAAGAGGGGAGAATTGGTGGGAAGAGGGGAGAATTGGTGGGAAGAGGGGAGAATTGGTGGGAAGAGGGGAGAATTGGTGGGAAGAGGAGAGAATTGGTGGGAAGAGGGGAGAATTGGTGGGAAGAGGGGAGAATTGGTCGGAAGAGGGGAGAATTGGTGGGAAGAGGGGAGAATTGGTGGGAAGAGGGGAGAATTGGTGGGAAGAGGGGAGAATTGGTGGGAAGAGGAGAGAATTGGTGGGAAGAGGGGAGAATTGGTGGGAAGAGGGGAGAATTGGTGGGAAGAGGGGAGAATTGGTGGGAAGAGGGGAGAATTGGTGGGAAGAGGGGAGAATTGGTGGGAAGAGGGGAGAATTGGTGGGAAGAGGGGAGAATTGGTGGGAAGAGGAGAGAATTGGTGGGAAGAGGGGAGAATTGGTGGGAAGAGGAGAGAATTGGTGGGAAGAGGGGATAATTGGTGGGAACCGGATCGAGAAGGCTGTGGACGAGTGTGGACTGGGCGAAGCAATAAAAGACGAACCCCCAGCAACCTTGTGTCGGCTCTCCTTTATAAATGTATCTGTGTGTGCGCCTCTACGGGGCTTTATTGATGCTTCTCTACGGTCAATCGTTTGTTCGCATGGCCACAGTTCCACCGTGGTTTATCTTGAATTTTCCATTCATGAAGGAGACGCGCGCATGCGGCCATTTGAGGGTCTCCCACGGGTTGGTGGCTCCATCGGTGTCTCAGAAGCGGGAGACGGAGGAATGCCAAAGCCACGAGGCGGGCGATGGTTTTTGGGTCTCGATGAGGGCGCATATCCTGGGTGGCTCAACCTTCCCCCAATGTTCGCCAGAATTCTTCTGTGTCTGGGTTGAGATTCTCTGGAGAATCGGGGGCTTCAGGTGACCATTGGATGATGGGCAGGTGGGTGGTTGTCGTTCGCAAGAGAACGCGTGTGGAGAACCACGTTCACAAAACAGCACTGTGGCTGGAATTAGAAAATTTTAAAAATGTAGTCTGACGTTTCAGGCAATAGCCCCTCTTCATAGTGCAGCGAGGTGTTGCGTTAATCGCGCGTGCACCAATGCCAACAGCACCAAATTTTTTTGTTAATTAAGCATGGTGATGATGCTGAGTTAGCAGTGGCTCACAATAAAACGGCAGACTAGTCTGTAACAATGGTTTTAATTGAGAATATACTAGGCAATAGCCCTTCATAGCATATATCATAGCACATTCTTCTTGACACATTTATGTGCTTGAAGAATTGGTGTATGGCTAATAGAAGATACATCAACAAACATAAACAAATAACCCTTGAGAGCAGTGTTCTTGACTAATTTTCAGAGCAGGGAGCACTTTCGCCGATTCGACATCATCAATGTGTAGTGTTTATAATGACAAATAAACTTATGAGGCACACTTTGTTTATTGTAATACTTCCCTTACACAGTCCTTAACACACAGAGGGGTATTCGGTCCCCTCACCCGATACCCTAAGAAGGTACAGCCTCCCGAATTAGCGTGACCTACACACAGGTCTCTTGCTAACCTAAGGAGGTACAGCCTCCTATCTTGGCGGGACTCACACATTTACCGCTATCCTAGAGTCCTCCAGCTGGGACCTAGGGGAGGCTATCTGACCCACCGCTGGCCCGGCGGGTCTTGACCACTGGATACGCTGATCCTTAGCCCTCAGAAGGGCTGGAAGGCTGGGTCCAGGGTCCTGGCTATCTTCAGCCCGAGGTTCGGTCTTCGTGTAGGGAGAGAACTCCCCACGCTCTGCACGGTCACCCTTCTTATACCCGTTTGTGGCCAGGTCTAACCAATCCCACATTGACACGTGGAACTGTCTGATTGGTTCTTACCTGTGGCTATGATCCGCTTCACCTCGTCTGACCCCAACCGTTATGTACACAGAGGTAACGCTGCACTGCCCCTTTGATACCTAGTGGCAATGCAGGTTACCGAACAGTGAGTAGTTAACACCTCTACAAATGTATGAGCCGCCACATTTCAAACCATTGTTGGGGTTTGACAGCAGCACGGTGAACATGGGGTGTTTTCACATTTGTGTACTGCCAGGGGCCACACGGAATGGCCACCAGGGGTCTCCAGTGGCCCGCTAGGCCTTGCAATGAAGAACACTGCTTTAAAATGTGTGTGCACCATATTTCATGTTCATCACGGCCAGACACAAATGGTATATTTATATATTTTAAACATTGTGTAGTAACTGAATCGGAGACACTAAGAGTTGGAGGCACTCTGTTTATTAACACGCACCAACGGGGTTAACACTTCCAAATAATCCGTCTATAGTCGACTACGGTTCCCAGTCAGCACAGCTGGTAGACTGTCTGACTGGCGCCGCCGAGATGGTGAAGACTCCAGCAGCACTTCGAGGATCCCACTCCAAACGCCAGCTCTCGGGGAGGGGGGGCCCTCTTATACTGTCAGCGTGGCCTGGCTCCGCCCCCAGCCACGCCCCCTTTCTAGAACCTACCCGCGAGTTCCCTTCCGGGACCTTCCCCAACATCCCCCTCTGGTGTGTCACGTGGCCTACTGCCGTCACGACTGCTGTCAGGAGCAGATCCCCTTCCACGCAAGCAGCCAGCGCTATGCTGCTACATTGCTAATTCTATGTCACTACAATTGTATGAGCAAAATATAAACTACAAAGATATTACCTACTACAATCACCAAGAAATGTCTGTCCGTCCTGCACGTGACGTCACTCCACGAGGCCCATCTCCCCTGCGTGACGTCACTCCATATGAGGCCCACCCCCCCCACATTAATAT